GCTAGTAGCATCTCGCACTGAGAGAGCAAGCCAGGTGTTGAGCCCTGGACCCCACTCGTCATTCTGCAGCTGGCTCTATGGGAAATGTTGCTGTGTATGATATCAAGTCCAGGAGGTTCTCTCAGCTTCAATTTTCCCATCTGCAATATGGGCCTATTTCCTAATACTTGCCTATTTCCTGAGTTGTTGTGAGGATTCATGCTTTTTGGGCTGGAGAACACTGAGATAATCCAATGGCTATTGCTTACAGACAACCTATGAGCAGTTAAAGCTGGGGTGGGCAATTATTTTGGGTGGAGGTCCACTCACTGAGTTTTGGCAAGCCATCAAGGGCCACATGACAGGCAGCTGGGGCAGGCAGATAAATATTACTTTTCTAAATTGTTTAGGGGCCCTGTGGGCTGGATAGAATGGCCTGGTGGGCTGCATCCAGCCCGTGGGCCACATTCTGCCTACCCCCGAGTTAAAGGGAGTATGTTAGGATAGGGTGTTATGGAAAGCAGCACTTTTAATAAAGCCATTGAAAGAATGGTTTGTTGGCCATCTTTCAAGTAACTTTTATTAAACGGTTAATTTGAATATGGCACATGTACATCAAGAAAACCAAGCAATCTGCAGGCATGGGAAATTAATCAAACAGTGCCTTGAACAAAGGTCCCTTGTACAGCGCTCACAGAAACACACCGTGACGATTTACAGTTTCCTGAGAAATACTGGGGTGGCTGCAGATTACAGCTCAGATACTGGTAATTTGCTCAGTTATCAGGAACGTGTCACCTTTGCCTCCCTGAATATAGGAGCTGGAGGAATCCTCCATCCTTCCTGTTTGCTCATCTGCGTTCGGACCTGTGCGCTGCGGTGAAGGGGGATGCTCGAGAGTCAGATGTGGTTCTTTGGGCAGGTGCTGTTGGATATACAGCTCGTAACGTTTCCTTCTGTTCAGCTTATAGATGTGCAGCCTTTCTTCCTCGGCAGCAGGATCCTCCAAAACTCCATCCCATCGCAGGCTGTCATTGATCTGGTCAGAGAGGTCCTGGTCTGCTTGGTTAGAGCTTGAAATGGTGGAAGTTGGTAATACAAACGTGTTCATTTCTGTAGCAGGCTGAATTCCCTTTGCAGGGTCTGGGGTCAGGCCAGTATTCTTGCTGAGACGCGAAACTTCAAGCAGTTGGGTTTGCTGCTGCTGCTTCCTGCTTTTCCCATGATGTTTATCTGCTGCAATGAGAAATACCATCAACACAAACCTTCCACACATCGCTGCCACTGCCACTCACAACTTTACTGCTCTTCTGGAATATGACCGATACAGACCCGAGCCCACGACACGCAGCACGGGGGCATCATCCAGGAACCAGATTTTTAACACCACATCAACTGCATAAAAACTCCTGCTTGAGGAGAAAGAAGCGTCTAGCTGAGCACTTAAGCGCATTGTAGAACAGTACAGCTATGCAGAATTTCAGCATATTAATAGCATCTCCACCAGCATCCTGCTCATTGGATCAAAAGGACCATTAAGATTTTTTTTTTTTTTTTTTTTTTTTTTTTTTTTTAGTAGTTTTGTGCTCTTGGGGTTTTTTTCATGCAAATGTCATATGTCATAAACAGTTTGAGGAAAGAGGAAGTTTTTTAAAAAAAAAAAAAAAAAAGCCTGGTAGAAACTAAAATGAGAAACTTTTGTCCTATCATCATTTGAATGCCATTCAGGGGTTTCTGTGTTTTAATGCCCATGTGCAAAAGAGAGGCTCTCTGTGTGAAGGAGCTAGCAACCCCAAATTGGGGGGGGGGAATATTTTGGAAGTTTGTTACCCAATGTAAGTAAGTGGAATTCCCATTTTAATGTGTGCCCCCAGTTAAACAGCTAGTGAACAGCTCAGACCACCTCTCTTGTAATCTATGCTGGCACTATTGTTTTAAACACTTGTTCCATTTAGGCTTCAGCTTCCAACCATATTTACCCAAACTCTTGTAAAATCAGTGCTCTTTTTAATTCTGTTTTATTCTGAGGTTTTTATTTTATTTTTTTAAGCTCTGATCCTTTCATAGTGCAAGTGGCGTGCTTCACCTCCAAAGAAGTCTGATACAACCAGTTAACAGCCCTTGTACAAGCAGAGCGGACCAGAGAGATCTGTGCCTGATGGAAGCAACTCCTCCCCCATGAGCAAGTTCAGAGAGGAATCGGTGCCCTGGTTCATAAAACAGCAGCGTCCAACTCTGACCAGTTTGACTCATGCCAATAAAACGTTAAATGCATTTACCCAAAGCTTCCTGTGCTTTGTACCCGAAAGCTTGCAAAACACCCCAATTTTCCCAACTATTTAGCTGGTCTAATGAAAAATATCACATTTACCTAAAGAAACTTGTCAGTGCAGGGAAAGAAAGCCTCCTCATACTTGCAACCTCCCCAAATCTAGCAGCCCATTTGTGAAACAGCCTATTCCTTGACAGATGTCTTATGCCTCCTACTGCCTATGGGAGGTAGTGACATGCCCTCCTAATGTGTGTGTGGGGGGGTGCGTGTGTGTATTTTCCCCCACAAAAAGGTAGGTATGTTTCTAAAAAATGACTGGCAGTAAAAGAGGCCTGGGTCACCAGGCTGTTCTTTCAATGCTTGGGTGCTTGTCTTGTGGGGCGATCTAACCTTGGACAGGGGGCTGGACCCAATGACCTTGTGAGGTCCCTTCCAGCCCTCATAGCTATGACATCTACGAACTGAACCAGCGTCTCTATCTCCAATTCTTCCCCGGGATAACGGCACCTGCTCTCCTGTCTCTCTGCCACCCTGGCTGAAGGACGCCTCCTCGTCCCAGTGCCACATTTGGGCTTATTCCACTTAAACTCTAGCTTAGGGCCCCACAATACAAGGGGCCTCCAAATAAAAAACCTGGACATTTTCATTGTGACGTGACAAAAAACCAGACCTGCATATGGCTCTGTAGCTGTTATTCACACTGAGTCCATATCTTTGTGCAGAAATAACAATAATTCATCTTAAAATTTCATGAAAATCCATTCTCGTGGATTATGTTTCTCATATGGGGCCTCTTATAGCTGGACGTCACTTAGGGCCTCATCCGGCAGCGCTATCCCGGTCCCATTTTCTCTTGCCAGGCGGGTAAGGTGAGTCCAGGCAGACCTACTGATGTTGAGGGGTAACCAGCATGGGTTCGTGCAAGGCCGATCCTGCCTGACTAACCTGGTCTCTTTCTATGACCAGGTAACAAAGAGCTTAGATGCGACGGAGGAAGTCAATGTCGTCTTCTTGGACTTCCAGAAGGCCTTCGACACAGTGTCCCACCCAATTCTGGTGGGCAAGCTGAGGGACTGCGGCATGGATGAATGCACAGTCACATGGGTGGCAAACTGGCTCCAGGGGCGCACCCAGAAGGTGGTGGTGGACAGATCGATGTCGACCTGGGAGGGGGTGGGCAGTGGAGTCCCCCAGGGCTCGGTTCTAGGGCCAGTGCTGTTCAACATCTTCATCAGTGACCTGGACGAGGGTGTGGAGAGCACCCTGTTCAAGTTTGCTGATGACACCAAGCTGTGGGGTAAAGTGAATACACTGGCAGGCAGGGACCGCGTCCAGGCAGACCTGGATAGGTTGGAGACGTGGGCGGATCTGAACAGGATGCGGTTCAACAAGGACAAGTGCAGGGTGCTGCACCTGGGGAGAGGGAACCAGCATTATGGTTATAGGTTAGGGGCTGCCCCTCTCGGCAGCACAGAGGCAGAGAGGGATCTTGGAGTCAGGATTGACTCCAGGATGAAGATGAGTCGCCAATGTGACGAAGCAATAGGCAGAGCCAACCGCACCCTGTCCTGCAGCAACAGGGGCATCGCTACCAGGTCCAGAGAGGTCTTGCTCCCCCTCTACGCGGCGCTGGTCAGGCCGCAGCTGGAGTCCTGTGTCCAGTTCTGGGCGCCGCACTTCAAGAGGGACGTGGAGAACCTGGAGAGGGTCCAGAGGAGGCCACTTGTATGGTTGAGGGCCTCCGTGGCCAGCCCTGTGAGGAGAGGCTGGGGGACCTGAATCTCTTCAGTCTCTGCAAGAGGAGACTGAGGGGGGATCTCGTGGCTGCCGACAACCTTATCAGGGGCCAGCAGCAGGGACTCGGGGAAAGTCTGTTCACCAGGCCCCCCTTGGGGTCACCAGGAACAATGGCCACAAGCTGAGGGAGGAGAGGTTTAGGTTGGATATTAGGAAGGACTACTTCACTGTAAGGGTGGCCAGAGCCTGGACTAGGCTCCCAGAGAGGTGGTGCTCTCACCTTCCCTGGAGATCTTCAAGAGGAGACTGGACAGGCACCTGGCTGGGGTCTTATGACCCCTCCACCCCCAGTGCTCCTTCCTGCCCAGGGCGGGGGGTCGGACTCGATGATCCGTCTAGGTCCCTCCCGACTCACTGATTCTGTGAGTCTGTGATCCTACCGATCTCCCGTGCGTGGAGCAGGGGTCGAGCCGGGGCTGGCACGTCCGCGCCATGTCGCGCGCGAGGGGGCAATGCCCCAGCGCTTTGCGCCGTGAACCCCGGCGTGTCCTGCACCCGCACCCCGTGCCCAGCCGAGCGGGGGCATGCGGCCCAGCTCACCCGTCTCCCCCGAGGCAGGGGGGCGGTTGCCCCCCTGCCCTGCCGCAGGCAGCCGCGTCTTCTGCTGCTGCTTCCTCCTCTGCTGCCTGGCAGCGCCCTGCGGGCCGCCAGCCTGGCCCCGCGCCTGGACGGGCGGCAGGCGCCGTGCCCCTTGCATGGCCCACTCCTCCAGCCTGGGACGCGTCTCTATGGCGGCAACGACAGCAGCCAAGAGTCCCCTCCCGAGGGGCCGGGCCTGCCCGGCCTCTCCCCGCCCGCCCGGCTGGGCACGGAGAGGAGCCTGCGGCTGCCGTGCGAGCTGGGCCCTGCCACGCGCAAGGGAGAGCGCGTGGGCCTGGCTGGCAGTCTTCTCCCCCCTGAACACCCGCCCTGCCCCCCAGCGCCACAGCTCTGATTGCCGACGGGCTGCGGCTGCCCGGGTGTGCACAGGGCCTGGCCCTCCTGA